ACATACGAGCACGTACACATGTACGTTCTGTCAGACAGATAGGCGCGAACGACCGATAAATCCTCGCGAGAATTTAATAAAGTTGCCGCCGACGCGCGACTAAACGTTTCCGCGTGTTATCAGGGGAAAAAAGTGGAAAATGCGTTTAACGTGACAACAGGAAGAGACGAATTCCAATGACAGATCCGTCACACATTTTTCCCTGTCTTCGTTTAACGGCTATACTCTATAATTGCACTTTGGAGATGAAATATTAAACTTATCTCACTTTTTGAAAAGATAATATATCTGATGTGCTTGCTTTTAAAAAAAAGATAATGCACTTTTGTGTGTGCTTTTGTACGAACCCGTATATGTGTGATGCCTGTCCATTTAAAATATTTAAATACTCACGTTGAGGAATCCACCGTAAGAAAGTCCGTGTAAATTTTCAGTAGCTCGCCACCGACAACGTAGCCTAACGCAGGTCCTATTATGGCCATGGTGTAGTAAACACCTAAGACAACATTTTTCATTCGTCTATTAAAATGGATAAAAAAGAAATTATTAAATTTTGTTTTTTCAAAATTTTCAAAAATAAATTAAATGATTTCAAATTGATATTTAAAATTTCCAAGAAATTAAATAAACCAAATGGTCATTAAATTCTTGCAATAATAAATATATTAATTTTATACATATATATCTATTGTTGACTTTTAATACACTAATACACTAATTGTAATTAATGACCTTTACTAATTGTACACTAATTGTAATTAATACTTGATATCGATTGAGTTTAAATTTATTTCTATTATTATAGAAAAAAATCAATATATATTTATATGCGCTGCGAGATTGCGTCGCTTACCTAAATATACTGAGGACATCTTTTTCGAAACATTTTCGTCTAAATACGTAACCCCGAGTGTATAAAAGGGTGTCGCACCGGCGCCATGTAACAGCTGAGCTACCAGAAATATGGTTAAGTACACGCCACTGTAAGGCTCTAGCTCCGCTTGAACGGTAGATTGATCCGTGCAGGATATCTGAGTGGCCGAAATAATGATAAATCTGGCGTCGCCGGTTCACTAGGCAAACTACGTAAATAGGAGTGGAAATCGAGAAAAGCACGGAATTACAAACAAGTTTCGATTAGTCACGCACGCTTTAATTACGCATTGTGTTTATTGTCGCATAATCATGATGTAAATTTTGTTTAGAATTTAACGGAAATTCAATATGCTCGATGTGATATAACCGTGTGTTATTGGAAGGCGTTACGGACAAAGCGATTTTTTTTTCTGATTAAATTTATCACATAAATGTGATGACAAAACCGGATATGTAAATGAAGAATTTTAACGCGATTCTGTGGCAACTTAATGGCTTGGCTGCTTACCGAATGGCTCGATATATTGCTGACACTTTGGCATACATTTTCTGTTTGCTGACCTCCTCTATATGGTCCGGCAAGATAATGTGGAGATGCAAACAGCAAGCTACCTATACCTAAGACTAGAATTCCTATGCCGATATACCTATGACATTTCAAAATATCTGATTAAAGCAGGCTGGATTTAAAAATTAAACATGGGCGGCTCTTAAATTATTTAAAACCGAACTGAATAAAAATAAGAGACATATATATTATTTGACAGATTCTTTTATATATATATATATTTTTTTTTTAATCTAAATAAAATTTCGAAAAAAAGAGCAGTTGTCTTTGGCCGTGTTTCTATATTCAACGAAGTTAAAAATCTCCACAAGACTATCGATTGTCGATTACGCAGACGAGGGTCCGGAGGCGTCGCCGTAGCAAAGAAACGGGATGGAGATTAACGTCGGACGGACTGACATTAGGATTAATATTTATGAGAATCGTCGTGCAGAAACGATATCGGCATTAATATTAATGCCTGACGAAGATCATGGTGTGACGACATATACACGTGCGTACCTTGGTTTCGATGCCTTCGCGCGGCCACCGAGATAGCTTACTGGTACGAGAAGAAAGAAGCTAGCTATATCGTATCCGCCCGCTATCAAACCGGTCTCCGACGATTTCAGTCCGAATCTCCTTTCTATCGTCGTGATGACGACATTTACAAAACCATTCACGACCATTCCTAGAACAATGAAAACAGTTGCGTACGTGTGTGCGTAAGTGCGCGCGCGCGCGAGCGTGTGTGTGTGTGTGTGTGTGTGTGTGTGTGTAGTACGCCGCGTAC